ATCATGGTAAACTATGACAATACAACCCATTGTTGATCATGGTTAACCATGGCTATACAACCAATTGTTGATCATGGTTAACTATGACAATACAACCCATTGTTGATCATGGTAAACTATGACAATACAACCCATTGTTGATCATGGGTAACTATGGCTATACAACCCATTGTTGATCATGGTAAACCATGGCTACACAACCCATTGTTGATCATGGTTAACTATGACAATACAACCCATTGTTGATCATGGTTAACCATGGCTACACAACCCAATGTTGATCATGGTTAACTATGACAATACAACCCATTGTTGATCATGGTAAACTATGACAATACAACCCATTGTTGATCATGGTTGACCATGGCTATACAACCCATTGTTGATCATGGTTAACTATGACAATACAACCCATTGTTGATCATGGTTAACCATGGCTACACAACCCATTGTTGATCATGGTTAACCATGGCTACACAACCCATTGTTGATCATGGTTAACCATGGCTACACAACCCAATGTTGATCATGGTTAACTATGACAATACAACCAATTGTTGATCATGGTTAACCATGGCTATACATAAAATAACAAAAATACCAAACTCCAAGAAAATTCAAAGGGGAAAATCCCTTATTAATGGCTACACAATCCATTGTTGATCATGGTTAACCAATGACTTACCAACCCATTGATGATCATGATTAATCATGGTTGTTTCATTTTTTATTAAAATGGTCAACTTTGGTTGACCTATTGAAGTCAAATGAAGCATGCTCATTTAAAGAAACAATGGTTTACCATGATCAACCATAAATTATAATAAGTTGTGTAGCTATGGTTAGATGACTGTGGTTAAAATACAATATCAATAACCATAACTTAACCCAGATGAAATGATAATTATTAATGCATGAATGATCATGAATAGTTTGTGTACTGTTCTGTTTTTACATGTAGCTGAGATGTCTTTAGGATTACAATACACACAAAAAATAGACACTTATTCCCATTTAGAATATAGCAAAGTGCTCTCGACCAATGAAATTGTAGGATTTGATGTCTCTTTATTGTGAAGAATGAATGTTCTTAGTAAGGGATTATCCTATTGTTTAGGCCTATTTACAGTTCAAAACAAAAGAATTTCTATAAATGAGTTACAACTGCCCCAGAGCACATTTATCAGATTGAAAGGATTTATCACCAGTGATTGAAACTGAATAAAAGTTCAATTGTGAAACAAACAAAAAAAATGGACCAGCGGTTGTGAAGAATATTTATTTCCAATATTCCGATAAAATAAAACAAAAACAAAAAACAGGAATTTAATTTAAGTTTTGAATATATTTAAACTTTTAAAGGCATTTTATTTTGATTTAAAAAGCCGGACCAAAATATTGACTGTGAAATGAAAGTAGTAGTAACTCAAAAATATTGATTTAAACTGCAAATAAAAAAAGGATAATTCCTCACTAAAATATTACATAATTTACATTCATACTCACAATAAAAAAAAAAATGCAATTCCTACCTTTTCTGTGTACTGTTGTGTCACCTAATGTCAATAACGCATTTTTTTAATATTTCCCAAATTATAAGAAAGTCCTTACATTACTAAAACTAATCCATAAATGAAATGCCGAAAAAGGAAGTCATGCATCAATTAGAAACATTGCATTGACAATGAAGCTAATTCTTGAATAGTCAACCAATCAAGAGATTATTTGAGCCTTGAGCACTTATTGAGCATAATATTCTAAGTTTGTAAGAGAATGATAATCCCTTACTTCATGATAAGTACTCGCTTAAATGCTCGTACTTAATCATGATCAGAAAGGGATTATCATTCTCTTACATATACATATCTAAGACATCATCCCATATATCTATAATAAAAATAATGACCAGTCTAAGTTTCGTTTGTTCAAATCTAATTTAAGGACTAAAAACAAAGCCGTTTTCTCTTAAAAAATGTAGCTACAATCATGCATGTATATTTACCAATGGCAAGTGAAAATTACTCCAATCAACAATACTCACTTCGAGTGTCTAACGATTTGCTATGATTTTGAATATGATCTGCATAACACCCATCAATAAATGGATGGTCTACTGCAAACAATGTAATCTATTTATACCTGATTTACATATTTTATATTATTAACAACTAGATGATACTAGGTTTGGAAACATTTAAAATTCAATTCAGTCTTTTATACAAAGACTTGCAACTTGAATTAATCACTAATCTATATATAAAAATAAGGAGATGTAGTATGTCTTTGCCATGTGACGACTATCCAACAGAGTTCAAATGACGTTGATCAAGGAGGTTAAATAACATACATGTATTGGTTTATAGTTCATTCTGTCATTCTCTGCTGATTCTAACAATTAAGCAAACAGTCAATGTTACTAAATTGATAAATTTGATTAAATTTTAATCAAAGTCTCTATATTTTTTAATACTTACCTAAAATTTTATAGATGAGATATGATGGCTTTACATCTAGCAGCATTTATATTCATTAAGCTATTTTGAGGAAATCAATACCCCCTTCTTCCCTCAAAGTAATAGTTTGTAACATTTGGAAAAATAATTGTTGTAATCATGAAATAAATGAGTTGTGCCATGGCATTTTGTGATAAAGATAATCTACTGTGGTTTCACTATTATCCATATAGCTTTAAGGAATTGTGGATTGTTCAGGTTAATGCTATGATCTACCTGCAAAAATGACAGAGCCTCTATTCCCCATCAGAGTCCCCAGAACAATTTGGATAAAAGAAATGAAAAAGATATACAATGTCATAAGATACTTTAGATTCTCTGCAAGTTTCCTTACAATTCATTCAATAGTCTAGTAAAAATAAAGTTTAGAAGGCTTTCATACAGATCAACATATTACATTATATAGGTGTACAAAAATACGTCTGTTTACTGGAGATAAAACACAGACTGTAACTAAATATATTGTCTAATTCCTGGTATAACCACTTTCCACTTATAAGGTACATTTTTTATCATCACTATTGACTTTACATGTATTAAAACATGAAAATTAATTAAATGTCAAAACACATATTTTTAAAAACTTATCAATGTAATACTTGTATCAGCTGATAGTTATGTTTAAATATTATCTTTTTAACTATGTAACTGTAGTTTTATAATAAACATTCATTTATCAATAACATCATAAAATTCATCAATTACATACATCATATATATATAGTAAATAATCTTGTAGTGAGTGTTTATTACATATTTCATCTAAGTTATTTTTGGTGAACTCACACTTTATGGGCATACGATACAGTTACAGGGGAGGTAATGACGTTGCTAACGTAAATTGTTATTTTCGAGACGTCAAACTGTGACTTATCGGAAAAAGATGAAGTTTTCGACTGATTTTTATCATTCAAACTGATTTAACTTGAAAACGAGTTCATGGACCCCTATTTTTTAAACTGACATTTGGTTTGATTATGTATGAAGATAATGTTTACCAATTTTCATAAAAAAGTCAGTAGTGCAATTTTGTTAAATTTGATTTGATTTTTGATTTTTGGTGTTTTAACGCCACTTTTAAGCACCGCTTTTGGGCTATTTCGTGGCGGCCAGTTTTTATTGGTGGGAGGAAGCCGGAGTACACGGAGAAAACCATCAACCTTCGATAGGAAAACTAACAATCCTAGTCAATTAAGATTGGAGTCGAGTGCACCCGCACGAGTGGGGTTCAAACTCACAACCTCAGTGTTGACTGGCTAGTGATTACAGTAGTAACTACTTAGACCACTCGTTCACCGAGGCCCCTGTTAAATTTGATAAATATACAGCAAAAAATGACGTTTTTTTTTCTACAATCATGATCATTTGATTAATATGAGTTATTTGTAAAAATGAAATGTACAAATTTATAGAACATTTATATAAAACAGAAATTACAAATAATTTAACAAAAAACAGCTTGTGTTTATCTTTTAAAACAAAAAAGTTATGTATTTCTATCGAAAAGAAAAAAACGTCCCCAAACTCGAATTTTGAGGAAATATCTGAAATTTCAACCTCAGTTTACTCAAAAAGTAGCACATGATGGTATATTTTTTATTACATATTTGATTTAATCAGGTAAAAAATAGCCTATATGCAAATTTTCATCAAAATTTCATTATGGGATCAAAACTGTATCGTATGCCCTTAAATGATTCATAAGATTCAAATGGTCCAGTTTTGTTTTTTTACTTTTTTCATACAAACACAGTGGTTGATATTTATTCATGTATGCATGTATGTTTACCAGCAATATTTGGTGTCCAAGATTCAGAATAATGGGTGTTGGTTGCATAACAAAATTAAGATGTGGTATGATTGCCAATGAGACAACTCACTACCAGAGACCAAATGACATAGAAATTTACAACTATAGGTCACTGTACGGCCTTTAACTATGAGCAAAACCCATACTGCACAGCAAGGTATAAAAGGCCTTGAAATGACAAATGTAAAACAACTAACAAACTGATTTAAGTACAAAACGAAAAACAAATATGATATGCAACATCAATCAACAACCGCTAATTACATGCTCCAGACTTGGGACAGGCACATAATATCCATGTATGCATGTTAATCAGTGATATTTGGTGTTCAAGATTCAGAATAATGGATGCTGGCGGCATAAAGACATTTAAATAAAATTACTTTCTAAAATATCAAAAAGCACACATGTAAATTTTAATATTGTAGAAGTTAGTTTGACTGTATAATTCATTAAGTTCACAATCCCCATGATTACTTAAATATGTACTTATTAAACATTCATCCCTTTGGCTAAAAAGGTCAATTACATATTTCTATTCTTCTTTAACGTTAGACTCGTCCAATATTTTGGTTAAGGCTTCCTTTATTAATAGAAAATTGTCATCATATGAAATATAAAAGTTCCAATGACAATCTTTCATTGGAGAATGGCAAATAATAGAATAAAATAAATACCTTTGTCCTCTTCTTCAGCAGGAAGTCAGCAACAACTCATTTTCAAAACTGATTTACTACCTACAAGGCATAAAAAACAACATGGTTAGTTGTCAAAATTACATGCTATACACATTAACATATACAAGTGTGAATGTCCATTAAACTATCACTTATCCTGGTGTCAATGTCCACGAAATAGATATCAGTGCACTCTTTAATAAGTAATTAATATGTTAATTATTCAAAACAAAATGTAGAACAAGTTCTTTTCCATTTTCTGACCAGTATATAATGTCTTGATGTTTTTAGTAATAGATAAATTGTTGTATTCTATTTACTGTCTACTTAAGCCATCACACCAATTATATTTTTAAGTGGAATGAACAACACATTTACAGAATGCAGATGAAGATTTCTGCAATGTGGTTAATTTCCCCTTGAATTTATGGTTTATCTCTACCTATGAAATCCATTGGAAGCCCATGAATAAAAACGAATTCATGGTATTTTTCAATGATATGTAATAAGAAAATACATGTTCTTAATTATAGATTGATGCATGTCTTAAACATGTATGATAAAACCAATATTTAATACATGCACCATTTAATTTTCACTATTTATAAAGCAAAGTATACTCAAATCATATTGCCTTCAAATGTAATATTTAAATTTCACCTCTCAAAATTGAAAACAGCTGATTTTAAAATACACTGATATTTGGAAACAGATAATGGATCCAGAATAGTCAGTTCTCTCTGAGTTTGGAAATCTCAGAGATTCTCCTGTAAAAGTTCAGTCTTCTGAAAATCTACTGTTTTTGAGATATAAATCAAGATTTTTCTCCAATACTATTTAGTAATAGTTTGTCAAATTGAAACTGATATAAAAGTTAATGTCACAAGATCATTTGTTTTTAAAAAACATATTGTGAAACCTACCTGACCAGTTGTTTTACCTCGTTAATTCATTAATGATTGAATTTATTTGAATGTTGAACATAACTTAATAAGCTTCAAAAATAAATATGAAATATCTCAAAAAATTATTTGAAATTAAGGTTTTAAGAATAATTCTTCAGAGGCTTGACAAGTCGACACCTTGTATAAATTACCATCAAGCCATAAAACAAATCAAAGCATCATTGATGTTGTGATCCAGCCATATTCATAGCTAGTCTCATATTCTTTCTGATCATACTTTTTTCTAAATTTTTTTCTCTTTTCATTTCCAATCTTACTGTAAAATTTCTATGTTATTGTCCAAAGGTAGGGAATTTCGCAATATTGATGCAAATATAGATATATATATATATACTGATCTTTCAATTTTAGACTCTGTCAGATTTTATTTTTGACAAGAATGGAAAGGAAAATCGTCAAACAAGTAATATATTTTTTATATGCCATTAATAATGACAGGTTTAATAATTTCCAGAAAGAGGCCTTATAAATGCACTTTCTCAACAACAAAAATTAAAAAAAATAACTATTTTTTATCTAAATTGGTGTTCATCAATTCTTTATTAAGAAAAAATACATTTCCTGTATTCAAATCTTAATGTACAAATACCTAATGCTGAGATATTTCCAATTACTGTTAAATAGCAATATAATGGGATATAAATGTAAAACAAACAGAAATTTTATTGCAGAACCTGAAAATGCTCAGGTAAGAGTTATGCAATTTTGTTTGATATTTCAACCAAATTTCTGATAATTGTAACTAATCAATTAGAACTTGATTATTGACTTATGTCAGATGATAATGGCACTGATTTTACAAGTAAAATAAAAATTGCTTGCATTTTTTATACATATTTTTTTCATTTTAAGTATTTTCTTTGAGAAAAAAAAAACACATCAGATTAATCATTTAGCTAGCTAGCAAAATTAACAGAATATTTTAATGTAGTGTAGTAATTAAAGTAAATAATACATTTGAAGGTTTACTATTGAGGTCAAGAATGTGTGTATTCAGTTAGATGAGTAATAAATTGTGTCTATTTAATTATGTAACAGGCCATGAGATATTAACTGTGTTGAATTAAGCCTGGGGTTGTTTCTAATTAATACTTATTTGAAAATCATGAAGTTAATAATCATTCTGATTCTTACTTGCCTATGGAAAGAATTGGACTAATACCATTTCAAAAAAGTGTGGGAATCAACTTAGATATATTAATACACATGTTGACCTACATTTCATTGAACAATAATTTACACAAGTACAAGATACTAATTTAATACTTTCACAATTCTTATCAACTGATTCAATTGATGTACAAATACTTTTTCAAATTAATTCATAAATAGTAAATCATCATAAATTTTGATTTAGAAAGGAACTATATGTAAGTGTATATCTAAAATAAAGTCACTATTTGACCAATCTTTTCTTAATTTAAGGGCAAATAACATGTCAAAAGTTTGCAGTTGAAGATTAAAATGGTGTAGAAAGTTTCTGCAAGTCATAAAAACACATAATTAGTTTCATGATATTTCTTCAACTTAGTATTCTGCACCATCTCCAAAACCAGAGTGTTCGCATAGATCCAGCATGGCTGAATCAAAAATTATAAAAACAACCTACTATAACTGATTTTGATATACGCCTTTCATATCCATGTCATAGTATCAGTTTTACATATTTCATTCATATGGCCAAGCAATTCAGGGTAAAATGAATCAGTTAAATTACAACATAAGAATGACTGACTAGAGCAAGGATTGGCAGGGACCCAACACTTTTTTTAATATTATATAAAAAAACAAACCTAAAATCCTTAATATAAACCATAATTTTGTATAGTTATTATTTATATATTCTTAGTTGAAAAACTTAATTAATAAAATTATAGTTATTTTAAGAACATCAGCAGCTAAAAGAATCCTGATAACTAGATGTGTGTTTCTGTAAATTTCTGACATTTTGTGTTTTTACATATGGTGAAAAAAACCTCTGTTATATAATCCTTCAGATTACTGCTTATAAAGTTGAAGAAAATAACATTGTATTTATATAACTTTATTAGATTACATAATCTAATTCTTTAAATAACAGTTTAAAAATACTTTGATAGAGATAACATTATACAATATTTACTTTTTAATCTATCGAAGATGGTCATCATTATACAAACATAATTCTGTGTTCGTTATGAAAGCCAACAAAAGATATTGAATAAAGGGCAATAACTCTTATTTCTTATTGTCTTCATAATACATTTTTTCCTGCAGTGATTTTCTTAAATTTTATGTACCAACAATAGAGGGCTCATTTGCACATCTTTAACAAAGCTTTTGTTATAACTTTTGTAATTGACAGAGACCCATGGAGGTATTATATATTATTGTCATGTTTAGCATACTAATAATCCCATGTTGGGTTGACGGTTTGGCGCCCGCAAACATGTTTAACCCCGCTACATTCTGTATGTTGCCGTTCCCAAGTTAGGAGCCTGTAATTTAGTGGTTGTGGTTTGTTGTTATATATCATATTTGTCTTTCGTTCATTGTTTTGTACATAAATCAAGCCGTTAGTTTTCCTGTTTGAATTGTTTTACATTTGTCATTTCAGGGTCTTTTATAGCTGACTTTGCGGTATGGGCTTTGCTCTGACATTGTTGAAGGCCGTACTGTGACGTATAGTTGTTAACTTCTATGTCAATTGGTCTCTTGTTGAGTGTTGTCTCATTGGCAATTATACCACATATTTTTATTTTTATAAATTAACTACAGATGAATAATTGATTATGCCCTACAAAATATTTCCAAATATGCATTCTCTTTTTGAATGTAATTTTCTATTAATTTGTGAATTTTCCATTGATCCAATATCATTTGATTTTGTATGTTAAAACAAGTACTCAATATAAATATTTTTTTGGATAATTCTTACTTAAATTGTGATGTCATTATGTTCATTTGGGTTGTCCTTGCAGCCCCTTTTCACCCTTTTGGTGTACACTGTATATTCAGGTCAATTTGATGGTGAAAATGACTTCAAGAATCTTCAAAAGAATTGTAGGAATAGAAAACAGATCACAATTTGACTAAAATTGAAAAAGTTGAAGATGTTTGGAGTTTCATCAAAATTATTCCCTTCAAAGGTAAAAACGGCATACTGTGGATTCAATTATTTTCGTGGGTACCAATTTTCGTGAATTGAGGAAAGCTTGCATTTTCGTGGATATTTAATTTCGTGGCTTTGGCAAAGTGTGCATACATTACTTTAGAAAATTTGCAAATCGTTGAACATTAAAATTCGTGGTTCCCTAGTACCCACGAAATCCACGAAAATTGGTATCCAACGAATATTAATGAATCCACAGTATAAAAAAAAACCAAACAAACAAATAATTAAAAAATCAAATTTACAAAAAAATTCTATACAAAACATTATAACTGATAAAAATACAATGTTATATTTCAGGGACTTTTCTACATATTTTTTTATTTTTAACTTTAGAATATCTTAAACATTGTAAATAATATTTCCTAAAATACAATGGGAGACAAATCATGCATTACAATTCAGATGTTTTATCAATATAGATTGTCTCCCTTATTCTAGACCAAAAATGCTGACACAGTTCAATATATCATTTTATTTATCAATATCAACTGCATTTAAGATTTCTATCTTCTGTAAAAGATACCATTTACATATATATGTACCTTGAATGAGTCAACAGGGCCTACTATTATAGATACACATAGAATAGAGCATGGAAACAGGGAATGTATCAAAGAGACAACAACCTAACCAAAGAGCAGAAAACAGTCCAAGGCCACCAATGGGTCTTCAATGCAGCGAGAAAATCTTGCATCTGGAGGCGGGATTCAGCTGGCTGTTTATTTATATTTCGGTCTCTCACAACTAAGGTGTTACAGTCTTTACATTGTTATTTGTAAAAAAAACAAAAAAAAAACACTTAGTGTTCACAGTTTATTGACATAGACACCCCTGCCATCTACAACCTGCAGTAGAGCTTAAGTGAACAAGTCAAACCAAAATACTCCATTATCAGAGACACGCCTGCTAGAGAAACCCTGCAGAAGAGCTTTAGTGAACAAGTCACACCAAAATACTCCATTATCAGAGACACTCCTGCCAGAGAAACCCTGCAGAAGAGCTTTAGTGAAAAAGTAACATCAAAATACTCCAACACAGGTTATCCGAGACACCACTGCCAGGGACACCCTGCAGTAGAGCTTTAGTGGACAAGTCACATCAAAATACTCCAACATAAGACAAATATTATAAAAAAGTCAATACAACATCTCTGAAAATGTTATTTTCTTAGTAGTAATCTATAAAATATAGGATTGCAATGTTTCACATCTCTGAGAATGCAGTTTTCTTGTAGGCAATTTGTAGAATGTAGGGTGACATGGTTTTACATCTCTGAGAAAGTGATCTATAGAATGTATGGTAGCATGGTTTTACATTAACAGGTTAAGTTCTTGTAAGCTTGCTTTCAGTAACTGCAATCCTTATTTAATACAGTATTATTGATCATTGAAGTATTTTATTTGAGTTTTTGTTATCTATCATATCTTTACCCTACACCTCAGTGCTTTTCATACCTTAATCCTAGTCCGCACTGCTTTTCGTACCTTTATCCTAGACCTCAGTGCTTTTCATACCTTTATCCTAGACCTCAGTGCTTTTCATACCTTTATCCTAGACCTCAGTGCTTTTCATACCTAATCCTAGTCTGCAGTGCTTTTCATACCTTTATCCTAGTCTGCAGTGCTTTTCATACCTTTATCCTAGACCTCAGTGCTTTTCATACCTTTATCCTAGTCTGCAGTGCTTTTCATACCTTTATCCTAGACCTCAGTGCTTTTCATACCTTTATCCTAGACCTCAGTGCTTTTAATACCTTTATCCTAGTTCACAGTGCTTTTCATACCTTTATCCTAGACCTCAGTGCTTTTCATACTTTTATCCTAGTCCGCAGTGCTTTTCATACCTTTATCCTAGACCTCAGTGCTTTTCATACTTTTATCCTAGACCACAGTGCTTTTCATACCTTTATCCTAATTCGCAGTGCTTTTCATAAGTTTATCCTAGACCTTAGTGCTTTTCATACCTTTATCCTAGTCCGCAGTGCTTTTCATACCTTTATCCTAGACCTCAGTGCTTTTCATACCTTTTTCCTAGATCTCAGTGCTTTTCATACCTTTATTCTAGTCTGCAGTGCTTTTCATACCTTTATTCTAGTCCGCAGTGCTTTTCATACCTTTATTTTAGTCCTCAGTGCTTTTCATACCTTTATTCTAGTCCGCAGTGCTTTTCATACCTTTATTCTAGTCCGCAGTGCTTTTCATACCTTTATCCTAGTCCTCAGTGCTTTTCATACCTTTATCCTAGACCACAGTGCTTTTCATGCCTTCATCCTAGTCCTCAGTGCTTTTCATACCTTTATCCTAGACCTTAGTGCTTTTCCTGTATTGTTCTAATTGTATATTTTTATGTAGTTTTTGATAGTTAGCTGTGAGGATTATGCTCTGAGAGAATCTGATCCAGATTTTACCGTAACCAACGGTTGTAATATTTGTGTAATTGCTCCTCTGGATTCTGATCCCTCCTCGGATTTGTATTCAAGATACCCAGTGTGAAAAAGGTCACACTTCACAGGTATTTTCTTTCCTTCTCATAGTGTTACAGTGGTGGTCAATAAACTGCTTCCTCTTGTATGTGTGATTATTATGCTGCTGATACAGAAGCTTTGGGAGTTTTAAAATCATGAAAATGGAACAATATCTGCAGGTCCAATTCTTGCAAGACATTTTTTATTGTGTGCTTTACATGCAAGACATATACTACTTTTTAGTACAGTTCAGTCAGGTTTGATTAGTCCTCATTGGTGATTTCTGATTTCATCGCTTGTCTAGTACACACCTACATGTCTGTCTTACACACATTAAATGTTTCATTTGAGTTACATGTCTTCCACATGCAATTAATGCTGTACATACCTGGTTTAAGGCAATAATCTCTGTCTAACTTCCACATTACATAAGGCTTTTGTATCTCCAGGAATAATGTTCTATTATATAATGAAGTTTCATTGATCACTCAGTACATGGCCTATCTTTAAATCAATCTAAAAATATCAATGAAATCTAAATTTATCCGATCAATCCTACCACATCTACATGGAAATATAAGTTTAATAGTTGAAACCACCTACAAGATGCTTAAGCAACTCTGTTAAAGCGATAGAGTTGACAATATAAAGAAACAAATTAACGAATTAAAAATTTTGGTAAAATTATTCTTCATAGAATATAAGCATTAAATCATCTGAACATGTTTTAATATTTCTGAATATTTTGGAAATTAAAATAGTATAGGATTTTTTTAACTGTATATATACTGAATAAAAACAAAGCCATGATTTTAAAATGATCAAATTACCTCGAGAGTCCCGTGAAATATTTTGCTTCAAGAAGGCATAGGGGGAAAATTAGAAAAAATAGATATCATATACCACAATGTTTATGTCAGAAAGGGAGCGGGTTACCTGGACTTTCAAAAATCTGCCACATTGAACATCAAATTCTCTGAATGACAAAAAACTTTCAGATAAGAGAGAGAAAACCTCTGACAATTCTTCAAAAGACTTGAAAAGATCAAACTGACGACTGATAAGCTGTAAAATTTTCCCCTTTTTATGTACCTCATAAATCACTTTTGTCCCTTTTTACCCGATTGCATTTTTATAATTATCAGTTTGTTGCAAGTAAAAATACCAAAATAGTTAAACTTTTTAACAATTTTCACCATTTGATTCTTAAAAAAAGAAGTGTATATTATCTGCAGGTAAGCTTCCACATATTAAATACCCATAATAATTCTAATTGGGACACCCCTACTTTTAATCATCAAGCTTTAACAGTATTTATAAAAAATATTTGACTTTGAAGATCTTAGGTGTGTTGGACATCAAAATAGTATCCTCTGCTTATAATGATAAGATATTCAGAATAGATCAAAGGTCAAGTTCTATTACTTTCGAAACTGAGATAAAGGCTTGTACTTATTAGTCTGCCAAAAAAAATCTGTAAAAAATTCTGAAAACAAAAAAGAAGTCATGTTTTCTCTTACCTTACCCAATTACTACATGGAAAATGATATTTTATATTTTTATACATAAATATTTTGTATTAAGATTGACATTTTCCCATTTCTATTGTTTAACAATAACTTCTGCAAAAGCCCATTTCTTAAAATTTTGTCAAAGACAGTTTTAAAGTCTATAAAGTCACAGTAAAGTTTTTTCTTTCCCTTCCTCTTCAAAAGTTCAAACAAAGTTTGCGATGTAAAAAAATAATTCATAGGGCTTTTATGTTAAAAACAATCTATCCCACTCTAATTTCTAAGTTGATATCGGAGGGTGTGGATGGGGGTTTTCAGAATAGAGAAAAATGGGCAAAAAATATAAAGAATAGAGAAAAAAGAACCAATAAAATAAAGAATAGAAGATAATGGGGTGCTAAAATCAAGAATAGAAGATAATGAGGTGCTAAAATATAAAGAATACTTAATAGAGAATGATGAAACAAAAAGTATAAAGAATAGAGAAAAATTGCCAGAAAAATTAAAGAATACAGAAATGAAGGATCCCCATCCAGACCCTCATGTCTACAGTACTCCTAACCAATTTGAATCAACTGAAAAATCCAATTTAATTGTTAAATTTTCACAGATTCCACAAAGATTTTTTATATCATGTTGAAGAGAGAATTCTTAGTTGATTCATTTTTCAAAGGATGGATTTAAACATTAAGGATTTAAGTTAATTTGTTACACGTATATAATATATACAAAACAATACAATTTAATTATATTTGTCTTTCATTCCATTGAATGATTATCCTACTCATAAATAGAGGGACAATAGTCATAGATAAATACCGCTAATCAACACCCCAATTAACCAATTAAATTTTAGATTTAAACCACATGTCATAAGTATATTGTTATTTTTCAGTGTATATGAAAATTTGTGTATTTCATATTACCCTTATTCGGATTACGTGTATATTTTTCGTAGGATGTGATTTTTATGACGTGATCAAATCCTGAAATAAGAAAACAAGGCATCCACTACATCAGTCCTTTGTCGTCATGATGATCACTTCCGAGAGAGAAATAATTAGTGGGCGTGTCTTTCACAAACACGTGCTTTCGGTTTGACATATTGTTGAAATCATTCTTCTGTTACTGGTCATTTTGAGAAATTATGAGTTTAAAATGAAATGTATTATTTTGAGATATTGATAATAATACTCGTAAGATTTTTCATTGATTCCTAAATTGTCCGCTAGTGTAAAATTGAAAAAGATTAATTAAATTCTACTTTTGTTTTCGTGACCTACAACAGACAACATTGCATTTTGGGAAAGATTGAAGCGTTGTCACGTGATTTCTTTGTGTGCCGTACTCGCGTGTGAGTCAGAACCCTGTCACCAAATAACACGAAATTATCTTTATGTTTTGGTAAATTTATATAAGATTTCAACACCAAACTCTCCAGTTTATTCGGAGAGTCATTAATGAGTGTGGATGTATCGGACTTAGAAATGCAACAGTGAAATTTTAGCATTCCAAGCGCTTTTTTCGTGCAGGCAGTGTTCGTGGGGTTGTAATGGCAGTGGTTGGACATAGACACGCGAGGCATATCATGGCTTTTCAAGGAGGGGCACCACCCGCCCCATCTCAGCATGCAATCCTCACAGCAGCAGTAGCTGTCCCATATTTTCAGGTTGTGCCTCCACAAGATGTACAACCCGACCGGCCAATCGGTTATGGGGCTTTTGGTGTTGTATGGTGAGTGTACTATTTCTTTGTTCGTCTCGTGCAAGTCTGTTCATAGATTTTTTAGACAAAGAAAAAAATAATAAAAAGTTTGATTTTCATATCATTTAATAAGTCAAAATAAAAAGGAACTCTGTGCCGTTCGTGCCTCTTCTTTATTTTAACTTCTTTTGTTCTTGAATGAATTTCTTTGTGACATTGTCAGAAAATCAGCTGATTGTGCGTGACATGTGAACACAGTTCAACTTCTTTAAAAATAAATCATTCCATTCATAAGTTTACAGTCATGATATGTATTTTGTTATCAATTTAACTTTATTGTAAAAAAATTACAAGATTCAAATTAAAATTTATATAAAATTATCTTGTACGGACAGGTCAAATGTATTTTGGATTACATGTACATTCCATTTGATCTTTATATTTAATTTATGTATATATATTGACATCTTATCTTCATATGTTGAAGAATCCAAAATTTGTTCTTATTTGAATTAAAGATAAGTTGGCCATGAAACATAAATAAGTTTGAGTTTGATCCATATCCATCTTTTAGCTTTATGTAAACAACAATAGTTTCAGGGAAAAAAATATCAAAACATCTAAGAACCAAAAGTTTCAGTTGCAGTCCTATTGTTAACCCTAAGGTTAATTTGTCTGAAAGTTTTTAAAAGAAAATATTATATCCAGCAGTATACAGAAGTCAAACATATGTACATTTATATTAATTGTTCATTTTAATGGATGTAAATAAATAAAAATAAAAAGGAACAAAAGGAGATAAGAGATATGAGGTCAATTATTAACTTTAAGGTACAATTTGTTTGTTATTGGTCATCTTGCATTTTAAATCATAAATAATCTTGTCAAGAATAAGCATGAAATGTTTTCCAACGCACAAGAAGCAAACAACAATCATTGGTAAATAAGCAATAGAAAAATATGTTAAATTTGAAGCATTGTTTTTAACAACCCGTGGTCATATAACATACATTGTACATGTACATGTATTATAATTGACAATCGATAAAGGTAAAAAGAAATCTGTAAAATGTTATTTTTTTAACAGAAACCTTTTACCAACTTCCTTTCTGATAATGTAAAGAATGTCTTAGAACACCCATAAAATATCCCTTTTGTATGCATACACACTTTTTGGTGACAATACTCTATTTATACTTTTGTATATATATATTTGGGTATTTCTACGTGTACTTATAACATACTTCATGTTTATGATATATATGACATGCACAAGTATTACATAAGATAAGAGTGTTACTAACATGCCTACATTATTTGCATAATATGAATTAAAAACCAATTATAATCGAAAATCAGATTGGAACTTGCTGTCTGATTTTTAGGATTAATCAGTTAAAATATTACAGCCGATTCCTAACCCTGTCTTAATTGATATATTTAACCAAATTTTGTTGTGCTGCGAAGACAATATCATATGATAGCTGTTTAAATGCGCAGAAACTTGATGTTAAAAGGCTGAACTTCTGAAAAGACATTAGTTCTAGGTGACTGTCCAAACTGATCATTGACAACTTATAACAGGTCAAATAAGTAATTTACATGTTATTTGTAGAAGCTAATGACACCAAGGTAAATGACCAGGAAAGTTACATGTCAAATTTTAACACGATCCTATAAATGTATTTAAAAAGGATGGAATCGTTTTAATTTAGTTGTTGATTTAATTTTAGAAGAAACTAATATCAAAATTTGATGTTGATGCTAAAAAAAATTGTAAAAACATTGAGTTGTCTTTGTGTTGAATTTATTCACATGTCTTTTACACATTTTGTTGCAGACTCTATGGTAGAATATTATACATCTATTTTGGTTACCCTACAATGTATAGTTGTTAACATCTGCAGCCTTTGGTCTCTGGTTGATACTCGTCTATTTGGCAATCGTACCACATCTCCTTATTTTGATACTGTATTATTTGGTCAATGACTTATAAGCATTTATTGCTCATCTTAACAGCAGATTCATAATTGCTTTGTATGTAATTCCTGAAAATTATGAAGCAGAAAGTTTACATAAAAATAAAGATAAATGGTATGATTGCCAATGACTTTGAGACAACTAACCACCAGACTTCAAATGATGTGGATGTTAGCAATTATAGGTCACGTTACAGCCTTTAACAATGAGCAAAATCCATACCATAGTTAGCTATAAAAAGTCCCAAATGTGAAATAATTTAACGTTTAGTATGGTTTTATTTTATGATTTATCAAGAATTATTAAAATTTCATTTTATTATAGGTCAGTGACGGACCCTAGAGATGGAAAGCGAGTGGCTCTAAAGAAAATGCCAAGTGTGTTCCAGAATTTAGTCTCATCCAAGAGAGTATTCCGTGAACTGAGAATGCTTTGTCACTTCAAACATGACAATGTAAGTACATCCAGATATATATGTGTAATATAAATTATCTATATTTCCACTCAAATCATTTTTCCATTGTTTCAAATCTTAATCATGAGGCTTTAGCTCATTTATGCACAGCTTTGTAAGCGTCTTGGGGTCTTCCTTTTACTGTGAGAAAACAAATAAATTCTTGTTCATTCTGTGAATTTTTGCACTTTGTGCATTAAATTTTCATTTTTCTACTGTTGAAATTGAACATTCCAGGTATATCATTTTTTGTATATAAATAAATTTTGAGTGAGTTGAATGAATTGGTAATTTGACAGATATAAACATGCTTCGATCGTGTTTATAGATAACAATATTTATAAACTGCAGCTGCAGTCTAAATTTGATACAAATAACTTCCATACAAAAACTGTATACATGACACAGTATTCCATTTAAACTTAGAATGTTTAATGTCATATGTACATGTATCTATCTATATTCCCCAAAAAAGGATAACATTGTATTCCTTGTGCGTTTATTGTTTACGTAATTTTAACTCCAACTTTAAGTTATAAAATACTTATTATTGTTTATACTCTAGGTAAAAGAGTTTTTTAAAAATTATTTTTAATATTAAAGACAAATTTTCTACGAAGACCATTCTTGAAACTCAATTCCAGCTTGTACGTAACATTGTTGAGAATGGTGACCATGAAATGACCCTTATTTTCCAATCAACACTGAATAGACTCCTACAATACAAACAGACCTATTGATCTAGTCTCATACTAACTCGGCCACTAATTTCACCAAAAATATCAATATTGGTCAAGATTTCAAAAAGCTTTCTGATATTCTGCCTATTGACCTAGTTTTGCTGAGATCTTTTGTTTTTATCTGGATGGAACTGAAGATGTACATTTCTAACTAGCAGCTGTTCATATAATGTCAGATTTTATAGTTAATCATTTGATTTGTATAATACACATAGTTCAGTGTGAAGACAGTTTATCCATCATTTCTGGTGTAGAAACAGATGCATTGCAAAATTGTTTTTCCTTAGTATGCATATTTCTGCATGTTTGCACTTACTTTGAACTTTTTAAAGTGTGTCTGTTCAGAGTTATCTTATAGATTCTCCTTTCTGATTCAACCCTTTTAGCATACAGTTTAAAATGGTTCCTCTATAAAACAATTATTTCACATGGTTTTACAGATAGTCAGATGTTTGACATGTCTGATAAGCAGTGTGGTTCTGTACATGTTAGACAGCAGAGTTCTCAAACCCTTTTTTCCCTGGTGGTCCTTGAAGAAAATCTGCTGGTCCTCACTATTATTTCTATTGCAAAATTCCAAAATTGTGTTGGTCCTTTGCAATTTTTGGTGGTCAAAACCTTCCACTTCGGACCACCACTTTTAGAGAACTCTGAAGCATTGGTTCTATTAGACAGGCATGCTCAAGGTTACTTACAAACAGAGCTTATTTTTTACATGTTTAGCGAGGTAGAATTCCACTGTCAGACCAACTATTCATATAGGCTATCTGTCAACCCACTCTGGGAATTATATCAGAACTTTGATGTAGACTGATCCTTTCAGGAAAGGAAAATGACGACAGCCAATTTTGTCATGAAATATTTAATTGATTCTATTAATAATCCTTGAAGTGTGCTAATTCTTGAAGCTCTAGGCTTTTCAAGAATGAGGGGAAAATTAAATTTATTTTGGACTTCCTGTATCCGTCCCACCTGTCGTTCAGACATTGTTTATATATCCTGGTGATGTCCTGTAGAATTCGCCTGTTAGGATTTCAACGTTAAAGCAGATTTAAGTACTTAAGTTTTCTCTGTTAATATTTTTCAGTATTTTATTAGTGTTACTTCTAAAGATTATTGAATAAACTGCAATACCTACATAATCATAGTAATAGGGATGAAAAAACATTTAAAAAGTAGAAAATACCTGGTACTAAAACAGTTTTTGAAAGCCCTACACAATGTATGAATGTGATTCTGTAGAGAAAGGAGGAAATGTTTTCATATGACAGACTCATCATTGTTTGTAAAATAATATCCTCCTGCGGAATAAATCGGTGGAATAAATTGGTACGTCTCTAAAAGGATTGATTGTCAATGTTTGTATGTATGGATCATGAAATATGCAGGTGAAATTTGTCCCCATATTGTCTCTGCTTGTTTGCCTAGAGATTGGTTGTGAATTAGTTTCTTTGTTTAGAAACAGCGACAGGTGTAGGCTGTAGACTATCTGCCACAGTCACCATATGTTGACAGAGATAACCCACCCCTGTCCAGACCTGTTTACCTGTACAGGTATTCTCACCACCCTTCATTGTTGTAAAGATTTGACCCGATTGTGTATTAATAGATGATTCAATAATCAGTTAGCATTTAAATTGGTCCCTGCTGTGCCACTTAAAATGATTAAGTCATCAATTTTAATGATAGTATTATACAAACCTACTCATTTCTTGCTCCTTCTTAATATTCATTGTCTGTAGATTTAGGAAACCTCCTACATGTACCAGCCTACAACAATTATACTCAGAAGTCTATCCAGTTTCTGGTTAGCTCGAGTGTAACTACTTAACTTTTGACATGTACAGTTTATATACCCTCCACTACTTTGAGTACTTTTTGACCGTTGTTTGTTTGTTGGTCTTTTTCTTTCTTAGCCATGGCGTTGTCAGTTTATTTTCGACTTCTGAGTTTGAATGTCCTTTTGGTATCTTTTGCCTCTCTTTTTCTTCCACTTAACTTTGAGTCAAAATAATTATAATTAAAAAAAAATTATTTGTTTTTTCTACCTTCTGTACTTACGCTGTATATAGTGGAAATCTTTTGTGAGAGTTTTTTCGCTAATCTAGTGTTGAAGATTAAAAGATCAAATGTTAATTTGTTATATAGATATCTATAAATTCTTTAATTTGTACTTTTGCATTGTAGTTGTAACAGAAAAACTGTTAGACAAAATTTGTGAATCTTAACATGACAAGTTAGGATATTATTTCTCCTGCCCCCTGGCACCAAAAAAAACCAAACTACATGTATGTTACCTTACTGATTTGCTCTATTTTATATTTTTGAATTGAGATCTTATATAATCAAAATTTGTTTTTGTTCTTTAAAGCCAAACTAGTCTACAATTATTAATGTTTCTCTAACCAGTAAAGATTACAGCTTTTTGCATGTCCTCTCACTATAAAATGTCCAAATAAAACAAGAGGAGCATATTAGACATATTTGTCATAAAATCAATTTAATGTAAAACTGACAATAAATTGACATTACACATGTATATATCAAGTATGATACTTTCACTCAGATCACATGACAAATTAACCCAGTTATATTGATCTGATTGATCATATTCTCTAATGACATGTAATTGTATTATTAATTAAATTGTTAATTCATTAATAATGCAGTCATTTGTTTGGAGTTCTTCTAATGTAGTCTTTTAAAATCTAATTTATGACAAATCAAAGAAATATTACATAAAAAAAAAACACTAAAAGTACTGGACAACCGAAAAAAGACAAAACTACAATGAACAACACCTAGGTCAGAGAGCATTCCTCTACAATTTATGTGAGCATGTGTTTTAGTCTTTGCTAAAAACTTATCTACATTGTAACACAAACTTAGAAATCAAGTTATTCAAAAGACTTACAAAACATTCAGAATATTTATTTCTGGGAGAGAGAATTTAGAATGTTGGTCACCTCAAGTAGACAACAGACCTATCTCCACTCCTATTTTTTATCCCATGAAGTGTTTATAAACTTGTGGTTAATAATTCATTAATCAACATGGAAATCGCTCAGTTGTGAAATATGTATAATAATGAATATATAGAGTCAGAAATTTTTTCTGTATAATCAACTTGTCTCCCCCAATATAAAATGGGCGAGCATTAATTGTGTGAAGTAAGGTACCTATATACACCTAGTTAAATATCACACCTGCAGTCGGCCAATTCTAAAAGTAGAAAGTCTGACAGAATTTCTATCACAAGTAAAAAGATTGATTTTAAGATTTTCTATCAGAGAATCATAGGATGAATAACTTGTAATTATTTACCTGTACAGGTGAAAAAACAGCTGATAAGGTCACCTTTGTTACTCCAGACATTTCTCTTTTACAGTTAACTTTGCATACTATTTATCTTTTTACTTTTTGTACATGAATTATTTGAATTATATACATGTTATAAAGAAAAAAAAGCTAAAAGCACAGTTTTGACTTCAAAGAAAAATTGAATGCTAAAGTGTTTTCTTATTAGAAAGATTACTTCTATCAAGTGTATCTAAAATGAATGTCATTATGCTTCAACAAAAAAACAGTGATGGTGTGGTGAATATTTGAGCACACAAAAACAGTCCTTGTGTGCTGAATATTTGAGCATACAAAAAACAGTCATGGTGAGCACACACATTGAACTGTTTGTTTTTGTCTAACCTGGTATTTGTAGGATTTCAGAAGCAATATGTTCTAGACTTGACCTAATGCATTGTATCTAGTCTTGCTGCTATAATTGATAATCACCACTAAATAGTCTGGTAGCAAATATTTCATGCATAATTAGTTCAGCTGTGTACAGATTGCATGTAACTGAATCTTTCATCCTGATTTATTTCAGATTTCCAGACTTGAAATTTTAGTCTCTTTAAATTAATTGAAAAGTTTTAAGGTCAACCATTAATTTTAGCAATAACATTAAACGGGGAAAGTTTGACAATTGAAATCGATTTTTTTATTCCGACTAAAATGTAAATTATTAAACTTTACTGGATTAAAAAGTCATTATTTTATAATAGATACTAACATTTCAATCTAAATTGTATTTATTTTAAAAGAAAAATAATATTTATACTCAGTTTTGACATGCTGTGTTCCCTATCTACACACAAGAGGTTAACTTGATGGAATTCACCATTTTTATGGCGGAAAACAGACGAAGATATAAAAATTATACAAAGTCTTTATGAAAAGTTTGTTTGAAGTTTTAGTTTACATGTTGTTAAATCCATAGATGTACAAGACATAAAAATGTGAATACATTGGCTGTGTCTGTGTAGAGGGGAATGTCTTCTTAACAGGTCCTCAAGTGCTTATAAGTCAATATTGACCTGAAGCGGCTCTATTTCAAAAGGCCAATTCTTTATTGTATATTCATTTATTTTCATGGGTACCAATTTTTTTGAATCAAGGAAAAATTGTATTTTCTTATATATTTGATTTTGTGGTTTTGCCGAAGTCTGTGTATACAAGATATAAGCCTATATAGAAAACCTGTACTTCATAAACATTTAGATTCATGGTTCAATCAACGAATAATAGATATCCCACAAATAATAAGATGTAAGATTGAAGGGCACGAAGACATTAGTTATTTGTAACGCATTTTGTATACTGTGGATTAAATATTATTCGTGGGATACAAATTTTCATGGATTTCATGGTTAAAGATGAACAACGAATTTAAATGTTCAACGAAGTACATATTTTCTATAGGTTTCTATGCAGACTTTGGCAAAACCACAAAATCAAATATCCAAGAAAGTACAAGTTTTCCTCAATCCACGAAAATTGGTGACCACGAAAATAGATGAATTCACAGTATAAGGAGATGTGGGTACTCATCAACAATAGACAAGGTCACACAAATATAACAAGCTTGTCTGTAATGTCATTGCTGAAATCTTTTCTAAAAGTTATGTTTATTTTTCAGGTATTATCAGCACTAGACATTCTACAACCACCTCACATAGATTTCTTTCATGAAGTGTATCCTTTTAAATAAAACCTACATGTATCTATAGGGGTCCAAACAGTAAAGGTAGGCTTTATTTGGTGTGTGTGTGTTTATATGTTTATATCAGAGATGTAGGCTATATGTCAAAGTAGATTGCTCTGAGGTAAGTAAGTAAGTAAATTTTATTTAGAGTCAGCATGTATATACATAATAACACTGACAAAACATGAGCTCTGGTGAGCTTTTTAACCGACTATCACACACAAAAACACGCAGCATCATGCAAATACTAATAAATAAAAATGAAAAAGCATGCAAATATAATGAAAGCAAATTAATTTTGATTTCTGAGCCTTTAGAGTCAATGCTCATGCGGCAAGCACCTCTATGTGCATTGAATGGGGGAACCTGCAAATCACTTGAATATCATAAAAATACTAACAGACTAAAAAGCATAAACTCAATAAATAAATTAAGCACTGGCATTTAATAGCAGGTATATATAATAAAAGCATAAAAAGCAGAGCAAAAGGCCATAATAAAAAGAAAGAAAGAAATTTCAGCTCTGAGGTCTAACAGTCTTTTGGTGGATGGGTCAGTTCACCCCTAGACCCAGGCAAGTCCTCTAGATGATTGTTATAGGCCATAGCATTCTCAAACAAAAAAACTGACAGATGTCAAGCAATGTTGGACCAATGTGGATGAGACTAAAAACATTTATAGAGTTGTTGAAATCTATGTAGAGTTGACCTACTGACTAATACAACACTTTTCTTAGTAAAGTTCATTATGAAATACTCCAGGTTTGTACCTGTCCTTACAGAATCAGGTGGCTCTGTCTGTTAAGTCCCACGATTTTCAACTGGTCTGCGTCTTATTTTCATGAGAAAAGAACAGGTTGGTTTCCTAATATTATTGCTGACTTTGCCTTTTCTTGTACTTGGTGTTATCAATTTATAGAGAGAAATTTACATTTGTAAGTATTTTCTTATACTTCATTTAACATATAACTCCCATTATCTTTGTACTTAATGAAATATTACATAACTTGAAGTATACATTTATTTCTTTTAACCAATAATAGTTACATTTCAGCCTGCTAACTTAATTTTAAACAAATTTTTACTATTACAGTCTTGAAGTGGGGTTGAAAAAAATTACCATAATGAATATTTTATAAGTTCTTAACCTAATTATATGTACCAAGAAACAAATTGTGGCTGCACTTTGCTATAAATCTCAGTAAATGTATTTGGTCTTAGTTTGAAATTCAATTGAGGATCAAAATTACCTTTCCATATAGACATTTTAATGGAATAATTATATTTAAAGTTCACTCTTGAAGAATTTAATTCATTCTTGTTATATTGAAAAGTTCGTATAAGGTTCCTAATTGGAATTAAATTTTGTGGTATTTGATATTAACTGAAATTTTTTGTTCAATGACGTCATTTATTCCGGGGCCAACCTGTGTAACTCATTCATAAAAAAACAACTTGAGATTGGTCTATAAAAGATATGGCATCAACATGGCAACTTCCCCAAATAACAATATCATAGATATACATGTATGACATAGAAAAACTGCCAATGTTAGGTACATGTAGATATGGTTTTCAAAGTATGTATGAAATACAGCATTTATCCTTAAGGAGATCAAAGTCCATGTTCATTTAGTCCGACACCATTAGGATTATAAAATTAAAACTGAAATAGGATGAGTGATAAAATACATCAGCATTATAAGTTACTTATCAGTTGTTTATGAATGAGATGTACATGTATTTATCTGTTTGATATGGGTCGTACTTAATCAGAAGTGTCAGTCAGTAAAACCATTGTATCAACGTGTACCGTGGACATCGTAAATCGTGACCGTATATTTCGGTGTAAGAATTTGCCTATCAGAGGTAAATAAGGTATGAATATAAACGGAAGATAAATAAAGTTATCACCTATTCATTATTGTTATCTCGTGGTATTCCGTGGCTTTGTTGATTGTTATGTGTTGTGACTGACGGTACGAGGGACTATACCACATTTTTACTGTAAAAGTACTGATTAATGTTGTTCTCTTCCTTGGAACATAGTCCATTTTGATAAGGGTAGCGTAGCCCTTGGAACATAGTCCAGATTTATGGTGCATGGGTTTTGATAAGGGTAGTGTAGCAACCAACTTAAGTAAAATTCAGGTTTCAGTTGTGTTGTTCAGATGTTTTTTGTCACATTTGATATCATTCAGCTCATAGTACCCATAGTATCAAGGAAAATTTGATTGTATTCACAATATTTGGGAATTACTAAAAACACAAGTTTGACTTAAAAAAATTAAGATGCTAGTTTTACAGTGAGTGATAAGAAATTTTAGCAGTAAAAAAATTTAATAAAATATAAAATGAGTTGTTCTGACCTGTCACGTTTTACACTATTAATAATTGAATTCTGATTTTTCATTATTTTAAATAAAAAATTCATCTAAAATGTTTGTCTACCGTAGAGGTACATGTATTTAACCTGAAGGTATAAATCAGATTAAGATCTTTACTACAGGTATAATTGTTACTTCATTCATTATGTTTATAGTAGCCAGGTCATGAACCTTGGTCTAATAATATCAAGATATATATCCTACAAATGGAACATGTATTGTAAACATATCAATTTTATGGCCCTTTTATATTTCTAACAGGAGAAGTAATAGGTCTGAGATATTTGGCTCTAGTTCTATATGTTCAATATATAAGAATAAAACTGTTTATGATATATCCAATATAGTTACATTTCTCTCATGTCAATTCTGTGTAAATTTACTAAATTACTACATTTACAAACTATTTGCAAGCACTTGTCCATTTCTATTCCTAGGGTACTGTGTACTTTAATATGTGATCCAATTAAAAATCACTATTTCACTGATATATATAATGATAAAGATTTTTGGTTTCTCTTGCCCAAATATATACACCTGTATTATAACACACAATAAATCCCTAGCATTCAGTTATATAGCTAAAGTCGGTCACCTCTTGTAAATTGTCACTTTGAACTGCTTAATTAGAGACATCATAAGTATGTCAGCTCACTGGAAAATGTTTTTTTTTACCATGGTTCAATAACGGTAAAAAATTAAATTTTTGATGAATTCAGGATAAAAATATGAAGAAGCATCCTTGTCAATTTTGTAAAAATTATTTCCCATACTTGATACAAATTTGATTATGTTATATTGTGAAATTCATTTACCATATTTGCATAAACAACCTGCTCTGTCTTGCTTTGAAGCTCATTAGTCGATCGCCTTTAGCTATCTTTAGGTTCACTGACCCCAGAGCCATCAATGTAAATGATTGCTTGGATCAATTAACTGGCAAATGGTATCGGATTTCTATTCCAACACTCTTAATGTCATCTGGCCTCCCTTAGTAAGCTGTAGGTGAAGGTCACGCTTCATTTGAAGCCAATTTCATGTGTGTCCTACCTCAGGGTGAAATAAATGTCAGAAGGTAACAGCCCTGTCCAATGTTATAGGGTGGAAATTCATGTCCAACCTGTAGGGTAGCTAATTTGATAGTTTCTATAAGATTGTATGTGGTAGGAAGGTCATCAGGTCAAAACACTCAACCATAAAGATTGCTGACCAAAGGAAAAATTAATAATTTATAGAAATTATTTACAAAGGGTTGCTGCATGCCTATTTGTAACTCAAATTTTTTGGCAGGTGCTTGGTAGATAATTTTAACAAAACTTAATTAGATATTTAGAGTTATACCTTCTGAGACCTGAAATTATTTTATTGAAAATAATTCACTTTACAAAGTATACAACTGTTCAAAAAAATGTTTGTTCTTCATTAATAAAACATCTATTAATTGGAAAAAAACAATTTGTTGACCTCTAAAAATTGACAAAATTGTGTAAAAATTTGCACCTGTCCTAAGTCAGGAACCTGATGTTCAGTGGTTGTCGTTTGTTGATGTTGTTCATAAGTGTTTATCGTTTTTTATATAGATTAGACTGTTGGTTTTCCTGTTTGAATGGTTTTACACTAGTAATTTTTGGGGCCCTTTATAGCTTGCTGTTCGGTGTGAGCCAAGGCTCTAAGTTGAAGACCGTACTTTGACCTATAAAGGTTTACTTTTACAAATTGTGACTTGATGGAGAGTTGTCTCATTGGCCCTAATACCACATCTTCTTATATCTATATAAAGATTAAAATATGTCCTTTGAAAAATAAACTCATATAAAATTGAATGAACCCCTATACTTTAAAGGGATGTACATGTATATATTTCTCATGAAGACAAAAATTTGCCCTCTTTTTTTGGTAGCTTTTGTTTTTGTAATAATAGGTGGCCAGAAGAAACTTCATCAAATAAATACTGTTCTGCTTGAAATGATACAAAATAGCATTGCATTCTGGCATATCTGAAACCAAATATTTAGTGAGATACAGACTGAGTGAAGTTTTCTTGTAATTGCACATCTTGCAGCCTACAATAAGTCAGGCATAATATCTTTATAACTACAGATCCCTGAAAAAATGTCTAGACACTATAATTAAAGAACACCTGAATAATGTAGTATTTTTTACCTTCAATTTACTAACAGAGTTAAGGACAAGGGTATTAATGATCAGTTATGTCTATTGATTACAAATTTTTCTGTACCTTATGATTTTAATGACGAGGATTTTAGAAGAGTGAAAATGGCCATAATGGAGACAATTAGACTTAAAGCTATAAATCATAGATGGATTATAAGATGTTATTGTATGACAGACAGACATTGGCAAAGAATATATAACAAGTATAAGATAAACCAAGAGGGGAGTTAGCAGGATTGGGTGTACCTACTTTACACCATGATATTACATCAATGCTTTCAATGAGTTTAGAGAGAGGTCTTACAGCAATTTAAACTTTATTTCATGGTAAAGCATGCATGATAAATGCAGGATATTCAGTAATATTTAATGGCATCATGGTAATTAATTTAAATAAGAAGTTAATTTAATGATATCCATTCACAGTAA